GCCTATACAATAATGCATATAATAGTAATAAAAGATGGAACTTTATATTATCTCAAAATGTAGTCCTGTTGAACGCGGAATGCGGAGCAAGGGAGAGCTCGGCTTGTTGTTTTGGAAAAGATTGTTGTTTTGGAAAGTTTTTAAAGTCTATTGAGAAAGTTAGTAGCTAGCTACCTTTTGAGTTTGGATATTGTGGTTGGCATCAGTTACTGGGACCTCTACTATCTGTCCAGTGAGCTGACCAAGGTCGGGTCTGAGGGGCTGTTTGGTTTCTTGAGGGATTGAACGCAGCCCGCTATGCGGTTAGCCATTGTTGCTGGGACTGCATATTGTCCCGGGCTTGAGCATACTTATAGAGAAGGGCACTCAACATGTACCGCACTGACACAAATGACTGATGTTTGGTTGAAAGAAATTGATAATAAGAAGATTGTGGGAGCTGTACTGTTAGATTTCAGTGCAGCCTTTGATATTATTGACCATAACCTGTTGTTGAAAAAACGTATGTGTTATGGCTTTTCAACCTCTGCCATATCGTGGATTCAGAGCTATCTATATAATATAACTCAGAGGGCTATAATGGAACCTTCTCTAATGTCAAACATGTACAGTGTGGTGTACCGCAGGGCAGCTCTCTAGGCCCTATACTCTTTTCTATTTTTACCAATGACCTGCCACTGGCATTAAACAAAGCATGTGTGTCCATGTATGCTGATGATTCAACCATATACGCATCAGCAACCACAGCTAATGAAGTCACTGAAACCCTTAACAAAGAGTTGCAGTCAGTTTTGGAATGGGTGGCCAGTAATAAACTGGTCCTGAACATCTCTAAAACTAAGAGCATTGTATTTGGTACAAATCATTCCCTAAGTTCTAGACCTCAGCTGAATCTGGTAATGAATGGTGTGGCTGTTGAACAAGTTGAGGAGACTACATTTCTTGGTGTTACCATAGATTGTAAACAGTCATGGTCAAAACATATAGATTCAATGGTTGTAAAGATGGGGAGAGGTCTGTCCATAATAAAGAGATGCGTTGCTTTATTTGACACCCCATTCCAAAAAGCAAGTCCTGCAGGCTCTAATTTAGTCTAATCTTGATTATTGTCCAGTCGTGTGGTCGAGTGCTGTAATGAAAGACCTAGTTAAGCTGCAGCTGGCCCAGAACAGAGCGGCACGTCTTGCTCTTCATTGTAATCAGAAGGCTGATATAAATACTATGCATGCCAGTCTCTCTTGGCTGAGAGTTGAGGAGAGACTGACTGCATCACTTCTTCTTTTTATAAGAAACATGAATGTGTTGGAAATTCCAAATTTTTTGCATAGTCAACTTACACACAGCTCTGTCACACACACCCACCCCACCAGACATGCCACCAGGGGTCTTTTCACGGTCCCCAGGTCCAGAACAAATTCATGGAAACGTACAGTATTATACAGAGCCATGAGTGCATGGAACTCCCTTCCATCTTATATAGCGCAAGTGAACAGCAAACCAGGTTTCAAAAAACAAATAAAGCAACACCTCACGGCACAACGCCTCTCCCCCATGTGACCTACTTGTCGTGTGTGTACTGACATGTATGTCTAACTGATAGATGCTCACACACACTACATGTTAATGTTTTTAAATGTATGTAAATTCTACATTATTTTCTCTGTAATGTATTTTTTTGTTATCTGTTGGACCCCAGTAAGACTCTCTATTAGCGTCGGCTAAAGGGGATCCTAATAAATCAAATAAAAAAATGAACATGTGGGAAACATGGATCATTCGAAATTTAACAAAAACATTTTGAGGGACATTGCACTATACACCACTTGAAAACACATTAATTTGAATGTAATTGAATATTCATGTTTGGACATAAGATTACCATATTTTATTAACATTTGACATCAGTCCTTATTTAGCCTACCTACCTATAGAAGCCATTGAAGCAGACCTAAAGCACTTTAAAAAAAAATATATTGTTTAAATTAGTAAAATGCTATGAAAATTGACATTCTAATATAGCATTGCTGGTATGACCCTCTTTTGACTTCTCAACCACCTGGTAGAGAGAGCTCTGTTATTTCCAAAATAACCATCAAGTAAAAAAAACAAACTATTGGAAGTTATTATTTGGGTTGTCAGTAATAGGAATTTAAGGTGAAATAATTTTTTCAACATGTTTTTCAAGAGATCGTTAAAAAAAAAAACATTGTTCAACATACAGTAGCTTACAGGTGGACTCAGCGTTATTCCATCCTTATACACAGCGACACCCTGCTCACAGACATAATCAACAACAACTACAACAACATATAAAATCTGTCACAATATAAATACAACTAAATAAAACAGAGAGTAAATAAGATAAGCGCTCGTCCAGCTGTCTCTATGGCGATACAGCATTGTTGTCACAGTCTGATGTTGATCTCACTGCGTGCTCCGTCGTCACCGCCACTCTCGTTGCCGTCGGCGTCAGACAGGAAGCCGCTTCCGACGGTAACCGCGGTGCCGACGCTGCGTTCCAGAGCCGTGATTCGCTGCTTCAGGCGTTGCTGCGCGGTGGCATACTCCATTTGTAGCCGTGCCAACCGCGTCTGGAGATGATCCACACATGCCTCCAACTTCTCCACCTATAAGAGGACAGTAGTTAAGATGATGATGAGTATTAGAATTCTGTACCTGGTTCACAAACTCTTCCAGTTTATCTCCTATGTGAGGCCCATGAGGGAAATGAGTCTTCTGCCTCCACAATGACACTGTATACTCTTTGTGGTGCGCTGCTTTAGGCTAGAGCTCTATGGGGGCCATTCAGGAAACACATCAGTCCATCTCAATCATCTTACTATATATGCATGTGGGTGCTTCCTTACTTGTGTTTACAAACAAACAAACAAACAAACAAAATCACACCTTCTCCTCCATTTCCTCCACTCCCAGGCTAACTCCTCCCTCTTCATCCAGTAGCCCCTCCTTCCTGAGGATGTCCCGCCCCCTCTGCTCCAACTGGGTTCTAGCATGAGGGAAGTCGCTGAGCGCCTCGGTCAGATCTCTCTTAGACAGGCAGAACAGGTCCGAGTAACCAAGGCTACGGATGTTAGCTGTTCTCCTGTTGCCCATCTTACTACCCCGGATGTTCAGGATGCTGACAGAGGAAAACACACAAACATTATAGTATTTATGCAACAACAATTAGACAGAAACACGTACGGACGCACACACTAACACACACTCCCTCCCCCCCCTACCTGATCTCCCCGAAGCAGCTTCCTGAGGTGAGCATGGCCAGCTGAGTAGCTCCATCATCTCCCACCACCGCCAGGCGGCCATCTTTAATAATGTACATCTCCTTCCCGATGTCTCCTTTACGACAGATATAATCTCCTGGAGAGAAGACCTGGGACGTAGGGTAATAGCACGTCGCAGGCCTGCCACAGTACCTGGAAGATACGCACTGGAAAGGAGGGGAGGGGGAGGACGAGAGAGAGAGGAAAGAGAGAGAGAGAGAGGAGAAGAGAGGAGGAGAAAGAGAGGATGAGAAGAGAGAGAGAGAGAGAGAGAGAGGAAAAGACGAGAGAGAGAGGAGAAGAAGAGAGAGGAAGGAGAGCGATGTAAGAGCTGAAAATGAGAGAGGCTCGTACCGAGACTGATGAGACGGACATAGGGGAGTGCTGAAGCCGCACGCGTATCGAGCCGAGGTGCATGCAGAGCGAGAACGGCAGTCGTCGACCCAGAATAGTACAGTAGGGTGTATCTACATCGATGGCTTGAGTGAGCTCGGAAGAGGCTAGGATCCACGCAAGACTCGACGCGCAGATGAGACTCAGCTCTCACCCTCTCCATGCTGCTCATCCTGAGTCCTGCCTACTGGGGAGAAGCTAGCACGAGAGAGAGGAAATGCAGACGCAAGGCACGACTCTACTGTAGTCCTTCCTCACAGTCCTGGAAGTTTCACACGCCCTAGAGGAGGGGGGGAGGACAGAGAGAGAGAGGAGAAGAAGAGAGAGAGGGAGGAGAGACAGAGAGAGAGAGAGGAAGAGAGGAGAAGAGAGGAGAGAGAGAGGGAGGAGGCAAGTATGTGAGAGAGTATGTGAGAGTGTGTGTTTTCTACCTTCTTCAATGTCTCCAGGTGCACATTGATAGCGATCTCAGCCCTCAGCTTATTGGGCAGGCTCTTCAGCACTTCCTGTTCGTCTACCGCCTTCTGATTGGTCCAGAGGTAGTCGAACCAGCGAATGACACGGTGCTCCAGGTCGCGGCTGACGTGTCTGAACTGCATGTAATGTTTGACCTGGTCGATGCGGCTCTGGAACTCTGCCCGCGTAGCGTTCATGTTGGAGATCATGGCTCCTACGTTCCCCACGATGCTGGCGAAGATCAACACTCCCACCTAGGATTAACACACCCAATATGTTAATGTTCTAGGATCAACATACCCAATATGTTAATGTTCTAGGATCAACATACCCAATATGTTAATGTTTCAGGATCAACATACCCAATATGTTAATGTTCTAGGATCAACATACCCAATATGTTAATGTTTCAGGATCAACATACCCAATATGTTAATGTTTCAGGATCAACATACCCAATATGTTAATGTTTCAGGATCAAAACAATAGTTAAGTCAGATCACATACCCAATGTTAATGCTCTCTAAGGATCAACATACCCAATATGTTAATGCTCTAGGATCAACATACCCAATATGGTAATG